AAAAAAAATATACAACAAAAAACTCAACTCAACGTCATGACCCAAGGAGAAAAACAAAAAGAATTCCAAGATAAAACCACATAAAAAGCGGCAACCGCCGAAAGTCATGAATTACAATGCTTAAAATCGCTCATTAGGAACTAAAATTTGTAAACTTGAGGCGATAAAGATCGCCTTTTGGAAAGCATACACATCACAGCACATACATAAATATATATATATATATTCACCGTCAGGGAACAATGGTTATGGTAAAAATAAAAGGAGGCGGCGTGTGGAAATAATTTGGTTACAATTAAGTAACAAAAGAATTTGTTTGGCAACTCTTGCGCGCTTTTTGGCCAACAACGTATGCCTTTTGCCCCATTATGGCTACCACCTTGCCTCTGGCGGCATTACAAAGTACTCTGCCCTCCCCCTCTATATACCTACATACATACATATAGCCATTTCCAATCCCATTGTCCAATTGTTCCCGCTCAGCCTCAGCCTCAGCTTCAGCTGTCCCGCTCCAGATTAAGCTGCGACTACATATAATTAGGAGCGGAACGGGTCCGACCCAAAGGAGTGGAAATGGGAGCCGGGAAACGGGGGAAACGCTGGGCAACTGTTTACCATAACAATGCATGGAAAAACACCTTTAGATGCACTGGGAAAAAATAATGGTTTATATTTAATTGACTAAAAATATACTATCAATAAAAAATTAGAAATAATAAGAAGGTAAAAATAGCTATCTTTCAGAAAGTGTTCTAGTTGGAATTTCTTTTAAAACGATCAAGTAAATTTGTTACGGAATAACCTAATGATTATACATAACACTTAATGTAATATATTCTATTTTAAACATTTAATATTATATATTCCAACACACATTTCTTTCCGTGTTCCTTGCCAGAAAGAAAAACTTTTGTCGCTGGCGTGGTCAGGTGTTAATGCCTGTGTTTATGACCCAAAGTGAATAGAGCCGACTTCTCTATATAGTATATACTTGTATGAGGTGTGCAATTATCGTCATTAGTCCCCCTTCCTCCAGGTAAAAAAAACTCCAAGCCCCCGGAGGCCACCATTGTTCTTCTGTGACGTTTGCCGCTTTAGTTGCGGCTTGTTGTGTATCGATGTTGCACGCTATAATTTTGGAAAATAATCAAATGATTTTGTTCATGCCAGTCACAGTTGCACATCATAATCATCATCTGAATAACCCCTGCCCCACCGTCATCATCATGCCGATGATCATCGTCGGTCTCGCCTCATCCAATTATTACAGTTTAGCCATGCCACAAGTCAAACAAAAGATCCCAGGCCTGTCAGACTCCGTCCCGCCTCAGCGAGTCGCAACTGCTCTTGGATGTGCTCCGCTTCATCCTTTCGTTTCCTTTCAAAAGGACTACCCAAAATTTCCTTGGGGTTGAGTGGGTACCTCAAGGACCTGGAGGTGTTAATAAGTGGGTTTGGATCAGGGAAGCGCTTAAGCGGTTGTGCTCTCTCAGGGATCAGGGGAATATGTGCAGGCTTAGAAAATGTACATAACATCAGTATAATTTTCAGTTTTAATTTCCCTTTAACACAATGATCATTCAATATTAGTATTAATATTTCCCTTTAACACAAGAATCATTCAACATTAAATTATATATTCTCTGTACTATCTAATTTACTTAAAGGACCATTTATAAATCGATTTATTCAAGTATAAGTATATGTTAGTTAAATGGTTATTCTTTTTGATAAATCGAACTTAGTTTTAAAGATTTTTCACATATAATCTTAAAACGAGAAAGGAAGTTCGGAACTTCGGAAAGCGGAGTTTTCAATACCTTTGAGGTTTCAAACGATCATAACTATACCAAAAATTCTTTCATTTCAAATTTATACACTTTTCTGATTTAGTTTTTATTATAATAATTGGATCGTAATGGTAATTTAAAATATTTTCGCTAATACAAATGATATATTTGACTGTGTATCATATCGGACTTTACCTTTTGATAAACAATTTTAACAATAACTAATATTTTAATTGAAGAAATTCTATAAAGGACAGTAAGAAAGATCAATATATTTCTACCATACCAAATTTCACACGAATATCTATCGATATTTCAACTTTTTGATAGATATATAGGCGATAAATTGATATTTTGTGGGCCATAATGATCTAAATAGTCAATACAAAAAGACATACATTTTCCTGATATTGTCAATAAAATAGATATAATTGGTACTAATATTTTTCCCCCGTTAAACCGTTGAAATATATATTTTCCGCACATTCTCTTTGGCAATCCAACTAGTTATTTCCACCAGAAAACTTGATTATTACAACCACTTTCCATTGCAACATCTTCTTTACTATTTATATATATATATATCAACAACTCCAAGTCCACGTCGTCTAATAAGCCAATCAAGTGTAGTTCCCACTCTGCCTAAGAGAGATGCCATTACAGTAAGTATTACAAAACCCACGACATAACTGGCGCCACATTCAATCTAAATCAGAGTTTAGAGCAATATATATTCTCGCCCCCGAGACAGACATTCAGACAGATAGAGAGAGTTTCTTGAACCTAAGACCCCACAATATATTGTACTATAACCCACGAGATCTTTACAAGTTAATTGAGTAAATGCCGCTGTGTGTGACATCATGTAGGATAATTCCCTTGTCGCGCAAGGCGAATAAATTGAAAGAAATGGCAAAGAAATCTTCGTCTTCGTCTTCGTCTGAGAGAGAGATTTACGTGGAAAAGAGACACAAACAAATAAATTTACTTTGATTGAATAATGGCCGCATAATTGGCAACTTGAATGGAATTGAGTATGGCAGGCGAAACGCAATTGAAAACTGTAACAACAAATGCAGTTTTCCTTCGCTGGCAACAGCAGGAGAGTGAAATACGAGAGGTATAAACTAAGTGAATTGGATAATCTCATTCTCATTCCCAGTCTGGATCTCAGATACCATTATTATTTTCATCTTTTTTTCGCCTCAATTGAAATGTGCAACTGAGAAATGTCAGCTGGCAATTGTCATCTAGATGGATGCGAATATCGCGCATACGCCCCGTGAGCTGCAGTTGCACAATCTTTGCAGTTTGTTAACCTTTGGAGCACCTCGAACCGATGAATCACCTGGTCTTGGGGGAATGTGAGCAAGTGCATCACGACCAGAAGATCGAGCTGCAGTCAAGGTGCGCCCGACTAAGAGGAATGAGGGCTTATTAAGCGGAGTCTGTGGAAAAGTAACTCTGTCTTAAGTTTTATTAGTAATATAGAGACTCTGTGCCTGGCTGGCGCCATAACCATAAATGGTACACTGCAAAAAAGGTAGCTAAACTAGTATCTAATATAAGAAAAGGTACTACATATAGGATTGAATATGATCAAGGCTTACAGATCTACAGAAAAAGGCCTAAAGAAACTTGGGTATTTACTTCAATATTCAAAACTTATACGATATATTATAAATCTCAATTAGGGAAAGTAATTTAAAGCTTCAACGTAAATAAATATATAATACTGTATTTTAAATAAAGAAATATTATAAAATATCTGTAAACCCAGTGTTTTTAATATTCAAAAACCCTTAAGAGCTTTCTAAATTCTAAGTTCTAAACCCTTAAGAACTTTGTAAATAAGTTGTATTAAATAGTATTTTATAAGTTGTATTATATATAATATTTTTCAAAATTATGTATAAAATTTTTCATAGTATAACTAATATTTTTCACACATTTTTCTGTATTTTTTTCAAGTGTCAACTATGAAACAATTTCCCCACGTTTATGTCCCTCAATTTTGTTTTAGTTTTGGCGGCATGCCAGGGACATGCGCTAAAAATTTTATTTGATTTGACACTTGGCAGTGGCTTTTGGCGCTGCCTTTACAACACTCGAATAGCTAACATATATGTACGTATTTATATATATTTATATTCGAGTGTGTGTCCAGTTATTAAGGACTTCCTGTTTGTCGTCGACAAGTTTGTCGCGACAACAGATTCATTTAGCGGCCACTGCAGTTCAATTTAACGCCCGCCGGACGCATATTTGCCGCCAGCTCCCCCGCAGATCTCATTAATTTTCGCCTTTTTTCTGTACATATTATTTTTCAGTTTATATTTCAAATAGAGTTTTAATTGGTTTTTTATGTTTTCATCGGTCCATCGTTTCGGTGTCTAAATATACAATAATAATAATATAAATTAAAGAGTGCTTAGAGTATCGCTTTAATCATTATAAATACATATATATCGTGACAACAAGTTAGCAAACTCACGAAAAACCTTTGCAAAGAAATGTATTCAAGCTGGTTTCTTAGTAGATATACTATATAGTTTTTTTCCTATAACATTCTCAAGGTGTTGTAGATCAGTGTGATTTATGGTTTCAAGCGCGAATGCTACATGACAGACATTAATTAAGTAGCTGGGAAAAGGTACAAATATGCTCTTGTTTATTTAGTTTTTGCTTGATTTATGTTTGCATTTAACAGTGTGCTGATTTTTACTGGTTTATATAATAGGATTTGAGTTTTTCAATAATATTCAGCAACTGAGTTTTATAATAAATTGATATTAGAAACTTATTCAATTTTGGTTTATGAGTTCTGTAATTCTAGATTTAAATAGATTTTGAAAATTTAAATATTTTTGGCTCATAAAATTTAAGCAAAGTGTAGATCTAAAATAAGTACCCAAAAATATTACAAATTAGTTTTTTGAAGCTTTTATAAATTGTTTAAAAATCAATTCTTGGTATTGACATTATTTCTTTAATAAAATAAATAAAACTCTTCATTTCAATCATATTTCCATGATCTTTTTATTTCAATAATTTAGTTTTCTGGCAATTTCTTGCAAGTTTTCCTCAACTCTGCAAAGGTTTTCCACATTCGGTAAACCGAACAAGATTTTTCTTTCAATTTATTTCCTGCTAAACTCCTCTTTTCCATATATATTTAATTTTCTTTTTATTTACAAGCGTCTAGCGCCTCAGTCGCGGCTATAACTATGTACAGTGAATACTTAGGGACTACAGTGGCTACTCCTTCAGCTGTTCCGCGAGACCACAGTGACGGGCTTGATGAGGGGCTGCGGCGAGGGTCCCGGGGAGTCTCCACCTCCGCCGCCGCCTTGGTGGTGACTCGGAGAGGTTTGCGGCTGCTGCCCCAGGTGACTCAGGTGACTCGGGTGGCTTGGGTGGCTTGGGTGGCTTGGGTGGAGCGGGGACTGAGGTGAGACTGTGGCTGCAGCCGCGGCTGCCACCGAGAGTTGCCGCTGGTGAGCCGCCAGAGCGGCGGCTGCCGCATGCTGATGCAACAGCTGTTGGTACTGCAATCGCTGGTAGAGTTCGCTACTCGAGGGAGGCGCCACAAAGGGTGGGGGTGGAGGTCCTGGCGGTGGTCCCGCCCCCTGAGGATGAGGTGCTGGCGGTGGTGGTGGCAATCCCGGATGGTGTCCTGGACCACTTTTGGGCGCAAAGGGATTGTATCGCTGATACATGCTGGCCAGCAAACTGGGCGCCGTTGGGGGATAAGCCAGAAACTGACCAAATTGAGGATAAGCAGCCAATCCCGGGAACATTGGTCCTATAAGTGACCTCTTGAAGGCCGCCAATCTGGACCTCGAGGCAGCCGTTGTTCTCCTTCGCAACTTGCCCGTGGAGCCACCAATGAAGACATCCTCCGCCGAGGGATCCAGCATCCAGTAGTTGCCCTTCCCGGGATCATCGTAATGCCGCGGCACCTTCACAAAGCACTTATTGAGGCTCAGATTGTGCCGGATGGAGTTCTGCCAGCCCTGCTTGTTGTCCCTGTAGTACGGATGGTTCGTCATGATGTACTCGTAGATCCCGTTGAGGGTGAGACGCTTCTCCTGGCTCTGCCGGATGGCCATCATGATCAGGGCATTGTAACTGTACGGCGGCTTCTCGTTGCCCTTCTTGTCCTTGACGGGTTTGCCATCGCCGGACTTGCTCTCGGCATCGCCATCGGTGTCACACTCGATGTCCTCTTCCACATCCTCCTCGTCCACCTCCTCGGCATCGCTCTCGTTGGGATTGACGGCCACGGGGGCCGGTGACATGCTGGTGACATCCAGATCCGATTCGGTATCACTTTCCGCCTCCGGATCCTCGCTGCCCCAGGGCGTGCTGGGATTATTGTTGTTATTATTCAGGTTCGGTTTCTTCTCCTCCGCCTCCCCATCGACATCGCCTTCCTCCTCATCCTCGTCGTGATGCTCCACGGTCTCCGGGAGTATGGCATTGATCGAGAAGCTGGATTTCAAGTGCGGCGTCCTGGCCATCTTCATCAGATTGGTGAGATTCAAGCCAACGGAAGGCGGCTGCTGCAGCGGATGCGGATGAGGATGCGGATGATGTGGATGGGTCGCGGGTGGCAGTGAATGATGAGAAGGATGATGCTGCAGGTGATGCTGCTGCTGGATGTGATGGGCACTGATCTCGCTGGACGGCAGGCCTTCAACGATCTTCACCATGATTGGAGAGTTATCCCTCAGAGGCTTCTCATAGCCTTTCAATTTATTTTGGAGATTTATGTGTAGAGTTTTATTTTAAGGAGACTTTGTGGCAGCTGTTTTGGTCATCATCAGTATCCTTTTTTTTAATACTTTTCAAGACTTTAATATGCAGACAATTTATGTTTGAAGGTATTTTACTCTTCTTTATAAAGTTTTATTTGTAAAATCTCTTTCGAATCTTTATAGTGATCATTATTTTGTTCCCAATTTCACTTATTTCTTATTCGAATTGGCTACTTTTCGTTGAGTTTATTGACGTTCAGTTTACCGACGCTCAACACGGCCCACAAAATACACGATTTCGCTGACGAGTCTCTCGTGTGTGTGATCTCACGTCCGTTGCTCAGGGGCTTTCAGTGTAGACTAAAGACGAAAGACTAAAGAGGCGAGAGTTCCCAGTAAAATTCCCAATCGCAAACGCAGGCCCGGTTTTCTTTCTTTTTTTCTGTTTTCTTTTTTGTTCAAATAATTCCAGAGGTGTTATTCCGGGGTGGTTCTCGACCGGATTGACCAATCAGCGCTGTGGAACGAATGGTTCATGTCTCGTTCTCTCTTCCGGCGAGAGCTGCTCGTTCCCTTCTCTCTCTCTCTTTATTGAACTCTCGTTACGCGAATCTGATTTATTTTTTCACATTCGTTACTAATTGCCACCGACGCCGACGCATGGTCACACACACATCTATGAATATAGTTTATATGTGAATGTGTATATGGTACACCCTATTTCATGTTTGTCGTTCCTTGTTGTGAGTGGGTCACCCTTTTCCGCATTGTGGGTTGCATTTTGATACGCCGTTCTCCCACTTCTTTTTTTCTTTTTGTTTGTTCTCTTTCCTCTCGCTTTGCTCTTTTATGTCGGCAGCTGTTCTTAACACAACACATATATACACACACACACACACACACACACACTTGCAGTTGCCATTATTAATTGTATCTTGTACCTAGGTTGTTGTTGTTTTTATTGTCATTTGCCCCCGTTAATTTTTCGGCGAGTTTGCAAACTTATGGAACTCATGGAAGGTACGAGAAAAGGGGGTTGCAGGGTTCTGGTCTCTCTTAAGGGATATGGTTATGGTCATAGATTTGTGTGTCCGGATTGTGTGTATTTTTATTCCCAATAGAGAAAAAAGAATCATTAAGATCATTCGTTACAATCAACGCGGCTTTACAGAATTTACAGAGATTTATAAAGAGACTTTTTGAAGCGACGCTTTGTAATCACTTCAGTTAGAGGTTTTATCTATTTCAACAGCTGACAGGAAATTATACAGATTTGAACTGATTTTCAATATTAATTAAGTTTAATTTATTGAAACTGATACTTCATAACATTTGAACATCTTTTATAAAAATCATCCTAATTATCAAAATCTATAAAAAAGCTTATTCTGAAAATTGCAAATTTCAAATCTTATTTTAGTACTTTTTAATATTTTGTTGCCATATTTATATTCTATATGACATCCTATATAACATTTTGCCATATCAGCACCTTTTCACTGATCTTGAGTTTAAGAAATATATTTATCGTTTAAAAATCGATTTCAAAATTATTTTTCATTACCTCTTTTCATCTAAATATTTTAAAAATAAAGCTTTAACATTTTAATCCGACTTAAGAAATCAAATTTTATGTACTTTAAAGTATAGGAATCTAATTTCTTTTAAATATTTATAAAAATTTGCCAATTTATAAACTTCTCTGGCAAAGAATTCTAGCCAAAACTTATACATATTAGCCATTGCAAATTTCCTCAAAGACAAAACTTTTCCAAGCCATCTGACAATTAAGTGCAATTTGTTGCAATCACAATTTTCCAGGCAAACAGAATTCTCGAGAACAACTGCAAAAGTGGAATAAAAGCAGCTGCTGTCATTCGCATGGGCCACAACCCAACACACAACACATGCCACATGTTTCAACAATAACCCAGAGACTGCTATATAGCAACCAGAGCCCCTCCCCCCAAACCGAACGGAATCGAAATCGAAATCATTATTGCTGTAATCATAATAATTGTTTTCACAAAATTGGGGGCGTGCTCACGTCGGCCGTACGATTGGAGAATATATATCTCTATAGGCCAGAGGTGTGTGGAGAGGGGTTAAACGTGTTTTACCTGAACGAAAACCATAGGTATAAAAATAAAACCCGAAGACCCAAGACCGAACGAAGACGACGCCATGTTTGAGGTCTGTGGTGGTAGTGGTATCTATGTCCGAATCAAGTTTTCGTAAGTCTTCGTGGATCTCCAAACGATTGGAGCCCGCCCCAAAGTGGAGACATGCGCTCTGCTCTCTCTCTCTCTCTCTTTTGGGAAGACTTTTCCCTCTCTCGCTCTATCTCTTGTTGCCCCCAATACAAAATGGCGCCCCATGTATATAAATAATTATACTTTCGGTTCCTTTGTTTGTTCAGTATTTCAATTAAATTATTTATCATTTGTTGGATAATTGTTTTGAATCACTTTGCATATGAAAAATAAAAGTTTGATGGGCGATTGGAAAAATACCAAAGCTAAATGGATGGTCAACCCGGAACGTAATAATAGGGAATGGTAATTACAGGGGTCTATCCTGTAAAATTATATGTTTGCTCTAAATACATAATGGAGATGTACGGGGGGATACTTTTTCAAATAATTTATTGATTATGTTATTATTATTAGGATATGGTAAAGATTCTCATATGAAAAAATATGCTAATATTGGGGTATTTATAAAATATATTATTTTTGGTGTTTTATTAATAAAATGAATAGTGAGTATAGGAAATTGAGCTTTATAAAATTATATAAATGTAGATTAATATGGGTTTTCTTTCTTTCTCTACCTGCAATGCACAAGTAAAGCAGAAAAATTAAATCCTGAAACCAAAAAAACTATATGACTTGAGTATGATAATTACTACAAGCAATATTCATTCCAACCATCCGTCAACCAACTAAAAGTTGATGAAACAAATAAATAAATACAACATTTTGTTTACACCATTTCGATTCATCTTTCCGCTGAAAATTTCAGAAGCCAAATATAAGGTAAATCCTTTTCGAAAATACTGTCGAAGAAAACTCAAAACAAACACAGGCGGAAACTACAGATCGTAATTACCCGGGGACACAAACAGAGACCAGAAAAAGCGACAGAAAAAAACCAACTTGTCATTGATCAAAAAGCCGAAAAAGGAGACAACCATTTCTTCTGCGCTACCGAAAGGGGATTACAAATGCCGGAATGCCGGAATGCCGGGAGGATTTATTGGGATTTATTATTCCTCATTCCAAAAGGAGGCGAGAGTACTTTACTAATCAGCCAGATCTATGGCAGGCATTTAGTTTTGTTCCGAACGCGAACGTATTTGATAAATCCGCGATGGCAGCCTAACCCTTTAAGGACCTACTGCTCTCTAAGGTCTCCCTGCTCAACCCGTTCGCTCGATGGGCCGTAAAGTTGCCACGCCCGCGCAAGTCCTTCCGGGTATACATGCCTTATTTTGATACGACTCAATGGCAGTTTAACCGCAGGATTAGCTTGTTTGTCCAACGGATCAGCGCGGGCCATGCAAACAAGGGACAGCTACCTGCGGCCAGGCGCGGAGGGTTCGGAGGGACTTGAAGGGGTTAAGGCGTCCAAGGATCACCGCTTGTCGCTTCCGCTGTTTATATGGTCTGTTTACAGTCACTGTCCGGCAGTGGGAATCCTCCACTGGCCATGTCCTGCGAGTACCTACATACGTCCTGCCCACACCCCTCGGCCCTCGGCCAGCTACCGTTTCGAAAGAGTTAAGCAAGGATTATAGATCGGAGAGCGAAGGACTTAGCTTAGCGTGCATTAATCTCGTTTCGTGGACTTCAAGCTGCGTCCTGGTCCTGGTCTACTTCTCTGTTTCCTCGATATCCTTGCCCTCCGCCCTTAATCGCTGTCGCTTAGCCACGCAAAATATTTTCAATTTGGGATTTGTCTCGATTAAAGGCCAAAAGGGTTAACCCTTCACGTAGCTCAAGCACTCTTCATTTGATTTGGTATTAACCAAGTTAAAAACAAACTATTGAAAGTTAATATTAAATACATTTACTTAATATTATAACCTTATGTTACAATTTGGAGATTTCAAAAATACAACTTTCCAACTACCAGAAACTGAAATAATAATTAATTAATAAAATAATTAAGAGAAAACTTGTAATATATTGTCTTGATATTCTTGACTATTTCCTTTCAAAACCTCTTAAAATACAGATTTCAAAACACCATTTTCCAAATATAAATGAGGTTTTTCCTCTCGAATTTTCTCGCTCTGACGCGTTTTCCAGTGGGGGATTATGAAAGGGGAACAACACAGAGAAACTAACAAATTGGCCAAATTTGTTTGAAATCACGTTCGGGGTCCTTTTGGACAGTTCCGGATTTCGGACACACTTGTTACTTTTGTTGCTGTTGTTCCTGCTGTTGCTGTTATCCTGCGCTTCGTTTTGCAAATAAACAGCCAAATGAGTGTCCTAGAGGTTGCCTTGAGTACGGCGAAGGGTGAAATCAATGGAACGGGGGGGGGGGGAGGTTAGTCCTTGGACCAGGGGACTCTTTGTGTCCACCATGCTGCGCGAGCATATGGTGGTTAGGCGAAAAATACAAGGGGAGGTGATGAGCCGGAAACCAGGATTTAGAAAGAGGAAACTTTCAGCTTCAATGGTTGCCAAGTACGCTATAAGAAGGGAATTTTATTTGTAAGGATATTTGCAAAGATTATCACTTGAGAGATCATCTATAGTTGGAAAAGTACAATAATAATAATAATTTCTAAGCTCTAAGCGAAGTGATCTTATTTTGATCCTTTTAAGAGAAGCTTTGTAATCTCTACATGGTATTTATTATATAATAAATGAACAATATGCCAAATAGTTATACAGTTAATAAAAATGATTAATTACATATTCATTAACTCTTTTTCCTGTTCTAATAAACCCAGCCTC